AGAATTGGTCTATTATTTACCTGTAGTCAAAAAATGAGTACAATTAAATTTTGGAAATGAGGTGTTACTAAATTCAGAAAAGTTATGGCGGGGGTGCCTTGAGTCTAGAAAGGCTGAGAACCACTGGTTTAGAGGATTCAGTGAGATCAGTGGCTCTCTAAAAAGTTCCTATTCTGTGGGGTTTGGTTTCTTCAATGAATAATGTTCTCTGAACTTCAGTGTCTATGAATGCGTTATAAACAGCAAATTTTCTAGCTTAAATCTATTTCCTCCTAAAACCATGTTTAATCCCTTAAATAGATTAAAGTGCTCAGAGGAAACTTTTGCATAAGATCCTTAGGGAATGTCAACACTGTTCAAGAATCATGCTACGGAGCACCGTAAGGAAATACGCCACATCAGCTCTGAGCACTACAACTCAGAACAGATGTCATGTAGCCACCTTAGTGGGATGCTGGACATATACCAATAAACTCATGCTGCAGGGTAAGGTTATTGGTACTTCCTAACATAGTACTTTGATGGTGTACCTATGTCTTTAGTAACAATCAACCTGTTTTTGTCCTCACACCTTATATCTAACTTAAGAGACTTCAACTTCAATAAAATTAGATCAGAATGACTATTGTATGCAAGTCTAATGGACTATACAGTTTAGGCACAGAATGTGTGTATGGACAGAAATGCAACACTTACAGCAATTCCATCACTAGCCCCTGTTGTAAGATATATATTATCTGGATCTGCAGGAACTCCTCCGTCTCTTCTTTCAATATATGCTGCAACATCTTCACGGATGCAATTTACACCTTGGCTAGCACTATAAGACCCTGTACAAAATGAAAATATGATCAGGCATTCAAATGTAGGCAAATTCTCACGTTGGTCAGTGAAATTTCAAAGTTAGAGGAGCCGCTTGCACTTTTATCAAAAATCACCAAAGAAACCAACCAATTTACTTTAGAAATGTCTTCTGTTCAAACAGCAGCAGCAAGAAACAGAAGGAGCATGAGATGAATTAAAATTAAAATAAATACCAAAACTCAAGTCCTTTAATACACTGTGACAACGTAGAACTGTATCACTTTTCCAGTATAAATAAATTCTATCATTTATAGCAAAAGCAGAGTGGGTAACCAGAAATACTGTGTAAAGTTCTCATTAAAATATTCAGATTAAATTCATAATAACTATAATGGTCTTAAAGATAGAAACAACAAGTGTTTGTTCCCAAGTACTGCACAGCTGAATATGTGCAAAAAACTTCCAGCAGCCTGAAAAATAAATTCAAGTTAGAAAGCCAAGGACAGACTGAGCTTGATATGATAAGCATTCGTGTAATTTAGCACTGCCATGAAACAACAGGATCTTCTTGGCTCTAAGTAGATTGCCAGATGGAGTGCCATGATTCTACCCAACTTAACTCTCATTCCTCAGTTATATGCTAGTAGTTGATCTGATGGTAGGGGTTTTTATTTCCAAGAGCTGTGCCATGGTAACTTTACAAAGAAATGCAGGAAACAATTGAAACTGCTGCCATCAAGAATGAATGCCTTACAGAGACTGAAAATTATTTTGGGCCAAGGCCCAGGATTGCTGTTGAACTCTGAAGGGCCAGTTACATGCACTTTTAGGGAGGTCAGCTCCAAAACACAGGCAGCCTGAGGAAGCAGTCCTGGGAAGACTTCCAGAAAGAAGTAATTTATTTCTTGCTTCCCAGGGCACAGGGGCGGGAGGCACATTTATACTCCTTTGGCTTTCCATGGAGGAAAATCCTAGCCCCTCAGACCTAGTCCCTTACACATCAGGTAAGGATGTTATAAAGGTTAGAACTGCTAGTGTAGGCAAGATAGCTGCAGCATTTTTAACTCTATGCTAGTAACATTTGTTCTAAGTAGGGTCAGTCAACATTACTGTTAATTTAGTACCAGAAATCCTAAATTGTTTCACTAGCAGTAACAGTGGGGGATGTCAGGACAGGTTTTCACTACACAGTTAATTAATCCAGACTCTTACTTGGGTTCTACCTCAATGTCTCTCCAACCATTCACAAAGAAAAACCTGACCCAAGTTTGGCAATTAAACCAGGCTTGCTTACACAGCTGGAGGTATGGAGTAGAACATGGAGTCAGCCGACAATCGGACTGGCACCCACCGAATCTGTGGTGAGAGATGCATGCAACGGGACAGGAGAGGAATCGCTTGAGAACTGCTAGTCAACAATGTATTTCCCTTCAATTCCTCACTAAAAGGGCAGGCAAGTTTCTCACAAGTTACAACTGCCTTAAAAAAGAGTCTTGGAGCATCTCAGCACAAGAACTATGGGATCTGCCTCCAGACACATCGTGTAGGGATGAGAGGACACAGTTATACAAGTAGGGTTTCAGCTTTTGAAACACTTGGGCTAGGGGCAGACATTACACACCAGTTTAAGTGATCTGAAACTGGTTTAAACCTGTAACAAAACAGACATTCAGTGCACATAAACCAGTTTCAAAATGGCCAAAACCGGTTTAAGATAAACCTGGTTGAATGCAGTATCAGACTTAACTGATTTGGCTCAAACCGGTTTATGCATCGTCTGTCCCAGACCCCCTTCCGGTTTAAGTTAAGCCAGACACCCCCAGCATCCCAGCATGCTCTCTCCTCTAGCCCAGCCAGGATGGCTTCACCCCTCTGCTCCCCAGCCAAAGCAGGGACAGGCAGGGGCAGAGGTGTGGCCAGGGAGGGGTTTTGTCTGGCTCATGGCAGGTCCCTCAGTGCTGCCGGGCTGAGGTGCCGCTCCCTGAGAACGCAGTGGGGCTGGGGTTGATCTGTGGCGGGACTGCCATTCTCAGCAGCCCGACCACAGCAGCTCCTTTGCTGCTGCCGCTGGCCCCAGCCCTGTGGTACAGGGAGGGACCAGCGGACGCAGCCCTGACCCCACGCTAGCTCCAGGCTCTAGCTCCCCTGGCTCCTGGCCTGAGCAACTGCCGGAACGCATGACTGGCTGAGGGGAAAAGCATGGGAATTTCAAACCACGTGCTTTAAAAAGCCGCGGTTTGAAAT